AGACAGAATGAAGAATATTGTTTCTTCCTGCAATACATTTTGGCCACTGTGTATTTTACATTTAATTTTACAGTGCAAAGGATATTACTGAAAGWACAGTCTTAGTTGATAATTTTCTTGTTTGGCAGAGCTGATATATCAAAAGGTTAATGCTAAACTAAATTTACATTTTTCAAGACTGATTATTTCTTACCCCAATCTCTCATTCCTCGTTCTTAACCTCTTTAAAAAGAAATGATATAAAATAGAACTTCTTTTTGACAATTTTAGCCAGAAAACCTTACTTTTCCTGCCGATTTTCATGCTCTACAAGCTTTGCCATCATAAACCACTTTGCATGTATTAAGGAGTATTATATTAGATGAGGCAATTTAAGTGTATCCCATTTCACTTGGTGAAACTAAGCAGCTTTGCATTATAACTAAGTTGAGCTAATGAGAATACGTCTAAAGCATGTGTTACCTGAAACTGAAGTTAGCTAGTCATTCAATACTGCAACCTGTGGGTTTGCAAAACGATAGCAGGAATCCTGCTGTGAGGGAGATAGGAAAATTATTATAATCTGCATTCCTAAATTGAATGAGTATTTTTCTCAGCAGAGGCCTCTTGACTGCAAAGAGTCTGAAATTACATCCTGCTGTTTAAAATGCCTTTTTTTTYCCAAGTAAGTAAAAATGCCCATATTTTCTTAAATCAAATATTTTAAAAATCTTAAATGAAGTAAATTATTGAGAGAGATAAAGTCATAAATCCTTTAATATCTCTTGTAAAAACTGTTTGATATTCATGTTTTTAATAGAAGGGACAAAGTGTGTTGAATTCATGGGTTTACGTTTTAAATTATTTAATTATATTTTTAAAGCATATCATAATTTCTCTCATCAATTTATTACTTAAAAAATTGCATGTTTACAAGTTGGTTTTTTTTTTTTTTAAATTTGTACAGGAGAAAATAGTATAAAAGATATCAGAATCAGTTAACAGATGTGATGCATAACATACTACCGAGGTAAACTCATATGCAAAGTTTCCAGAAAAGATTATACAAAAGTGAGCAAAAGACCAAGAGCTTACAAGAAGACACAGGGGATAAACATCTACAACAAGAGTAGCATGATAAACATAA